TTCTCAAACGAATGAATCATTGCGGTGTCTATGCGATGTTAAGGTCATCCGAGGGCGGGCCATATTGTGAGGTTAGGTCGAGTCCACACCGGCCCGCAACACTGCCCCTTCTTAGGTACATGCTCGTCCCGAGATGTATACGGTGAATGAAGGTATTTGCAAAGCTGGCCCCTGGTACATTGCGAAGTCTGGTAGAAATAGCAGTCTACAGTTTTCTCTCCCGATCTCAGCTTTGGGTTGTAGCAGCAAACGAGGATCTCGATTCCCGTAAATCTGAACAAGACTTCAATCATGTTCCGGATTGTACGCCAACTCAAACCATCGAGTCCACACGCCAGCTTCGGAATGGCTAATCGTGCAATGTTGTTGTTTAGCAGGGCTTCTCTCAGTTCAATCAGGGTCTTCCATAGATTGAGATAAGTCGGCTTACTCGGGGACCATTCCTTGGTGACCAGGTAGAAGATGTGCCTTGCTTGACCATGTGCATTGTCGGTTAGCCTCAAGACGCTTCCAACCTCTGGATCCTGTCGGCGTAGTTCTCCGACACGCCCAAACTTCTCATTGAACGTCGCAGCGATTCCTCTGGACATCCGCAAATCTCGAGCCACACAATGAGCGAGCGAATAATCAGGAGGCACGGAAAAGAGGTCTCGTTGATCTTCTTTGGTTACACCATAGCGAGCCTTCTCACTGCTGTTGTATCGGGCCATGAAATCGTCAAAGGACATCTCCGAATCAGGGGGATCAAAGCTGCAGGTTCTCACGGTCCCAGCACGATCTTCTATTTCGCCTTGGTAGGGGCTCAAACGGTTGAAATGGACTACCCTCGGTTTTCCTTTTGGCAATTTTCTGATACGGTATACGACGTCATTAATTCTATCCATGACTTCGTATGGCCCTTCCCACGAGGATTGTAGCTTCGGAGATAACCCACGACGTCTCTGCGGGTTATATAGCCACACCAACTTCCCTGGTTGGTATCCTCCATGCTCAGCTTGAATGTCGTAGTGTTCCTTCATTCGGTCACTAGCACTTTGAATATTTAGGCGGACTCTCTGATGAATGTCGTCCATCCTTTGACGTAGTGTGTGGACATAATCTTCTCCGGCGACTTCTTCTCCCGGTCGGCAACCAAATTTCAGATCACAGGGTAGGCGCACTTCCCGTCCCATAACGATGCTGGCTGGAGTTTGCCCTGTAGATTCTTGGACGGATGAACGGTAGGCCAACAGGAACAGGTGAAGAAATTTGTCCCAGTCTCTTTGGTGGTCAGAGACTACTTTGGCCAGATAACGGTTGATAGTTCTGTTCATGCGTTCAACCATCCCATCGGATTGTGGATGTAGAGCAGTCGTCCTGGTCTTGCGGATGTTCAGGACTTCACAGACGCCTTGGAACAGATTGGACTCAAAGTTTCTTCCCTGATCTGAATGAAGCTCCATGGGAACACCAAACCTGCAGATCCATTCTTTAACAAGGGCATCAGCAATCGTGGACGCTTCTTGATTTGGCAACGCGTAGGCCTCGACCCATTTGCTGAAGTAATCCATTACTACCACAATGTATTTGTTGCCATCGTTCGTCTCCGGGAAAGGACCAGCCACGTCGATCGCTATTCGTTCGAAGGGACTACCAACATTGTACTGGCGCATAGGGGCTTTACCACGCTTTTGTGGCCCATTAATGGCTGCGCAAATGTCACATTTCTTACACCAGGCCCTCACATCTTCTTTGCAGTTCACCCAGTAGAACCGTTCACGCAGCTTGCCAAGTGTGTTGCTAACACCAAGATGTCCACCGCTGGTTCCATTGTGAACTTCCTCCAAGACTTCTGGGACCCTCTTCTTTGGAATGACGATCTGCCTTCTCTCTTTTTGTCCCTCCGGTCTCTCGATCACACGGCGAAGTAGTCCGTTATCTATTACCAAGAAATTCCACTGGGCCCAGTACGTCTTTACGTTCGGCGAATATCTGCAAACTTCTTCCCATGTTGGTCTTTGGCCTGGGGTTTTCCAGTTAATTACTAAACCTAATTCTGGGTCACTGGTTTGGTCATTTGCAAGATCTTCGGGTTGCCAACTATCATTAACCACAGTTGTTCTTAGGAGTTTCACTTCTTTCTCTTCTGCTCGGGAACAATGCTTACAGTCCTTAGCGCAAGGTCTTCTGTAAAGTGCGTCGGCATTTCGATGGATTGCTCCAGCTCGATGTTCTGTGTCGAAGTCAAATTCTTGTAATCGTTCAATCTAGCTATCTGCCCTTCAGGATTCTTAAACTGCAACAGCCATTTCAAAGCAGCATGGTCTGTTCTTAACAAGAACTTTCTTCCATGGAGATACTTGTAGAAGTGTTCCACTGCTTTAACTACTGCTAGTAATTCTCGTCTGGTTACACAGTAGTTCCTTTCCGGTTTTGACAAGGTCTTACTAAAATAACCAATGACTTTTTCTTGACGATGTTTCTTGACATTTTGGTGAATTTGACTTCGCTATTTCTTCTTTTAAAATTTCGATTTTTCTGTTAACATCGTCCTCAATCTGTGCTATTTTGTCTTGTGTATCTATTATCTTTTCTTCTAATTCCTTGGAGTTTTCTGTTATCTTGTTGTATAAACTTTGTTCTAAATTCAATATTTTATTATTGAAGCTGGCCTGTATGTCTTTAAAATTTTCTGCGATCTTATCTTCTAAATTAACTTCCAAGTCAGTTATTTTACTATTCAAATTGTTCAAGTTGTCGTCTAATTTTTGAGAATTCTCTGTCATTTTATCATTCAAACTCTCTTCCAACTTTTGAGAATTTTCCGTTATTTTATCTTCTAATTTTTGTAAGGACGAGTCAAGGTCACCTTCCAGCTCAAAGCAAAATGTGTCAGGATCCTCACCTTCCTCAATCAAAACGTCTCTCAGTCTGGCTTGTAAAATGCTTTTCTTTCCATCTGTTTCGCATTCCCCCTCTTCCAGTACGCATTTTAATTCCGACACTTTTAAGTCTTTCAACAATTTTTTCGGAGCCATTGTCTGTCTTTTTATTTTCCTAGTCTATCACACATCCCACACCTGACACCAATTGTTACGTTTTTCGTCGGTTCCGTGTGGATAGAAAGTCACAATTTATTTAAACACTATTTATTTAACACTAATTAACAAAAACAATAACGATAAAAGACTTATAGAACTATTTACAAACGATTTATAGCTAAGAATTTATTTTGAATTTTAGCGCGTCAACTGCACTGGTATATTTATAACTGCCCCCTGTAGGCCACCGCCGCCGGCTTTTATACCGACAGGTAAAGAACTCTAGAATTGTCCATAGATCGTTAGGTGCGTAGAGAAGGTTTACGAATGTTCTCGTATGTACTAGTCCATTCCAGTGGGACTCGATTCTTCTCGAACGAATGAATCATTGCGGTGTCTATGCGATGTTAAGGTCATCCGAGGGCGGGCCATATTGTGAGGTTAGGTCAAGTCCACACCGGCCCGCAACATTATTAATTTTAAAGGTAATTAAAGTTATTTTTTTTAGCTAACATAATAAAGTAGTGTACATATATTAAAAATGTATTTAGTGAGCATATGTTTTCTAATAATATTCTTAAACTTAAAACTATTTTAAAAGCCAAACGAATAATTTGTGTATTAAATACTAATGTGTAAATGTATTTATGTGTACCACTTTTTTCTGTTAATAAACCAGTAAGAAACAATTTGCATTTGGAATATTAAACAGCGCCTATGTGCGGCTTTCAGTCAAGTCCGCGCGCTGCCATAAACGGTTCGGATTTTTAGCAAATTTTGTCAATCCTGCTCCTGCTTGCCGTAGCAGCATCGTGATCGACAAGCTGTTCCCTGCCTCCTAAAGTCGAATGCCCTTGACTCTCTGCAGCGTCCACTGACCTGCGATTCTTGCCATTTCTTTCTTTCTTCGCCAGTCGCTTTGCACTTCATCCCAAAACTACCAACGTGAATCAAATTCGACCATACCCGGTGGTACCATTTGATTTTCAACAAATACACAAGTCGATCTAGGAACAGCTCACCCACACACAGCAGAAATACTTTTACCGTGAACGTGTTTCTTGTGTCGTTTGTGCTATATTGCTACCCAGTTTTTTCGCCGCAACCAATGTGTTTAATTTGTGACTCAAGTCTTAAGGTTATTTTTTGGTGAAATACCTCTTTTACGCTGTTTTTCGTCCGCTTGAAGGTAAGATGTTTTTCTGCAATACCTACTTCAATTTTTAAGAACTCAAATTTCAAAGTATTTATATTAAAAGTGTTTTTTTGTGTAAATTACCTTTATTTAAACTGTATTTCATCTCCTTCAAGGTAACCATTCTTTTTTGTAATATACTGGAATACCATGATCTGAAGACCAATAATTGTTTTTTTATTGTTGCACTTCGTTTTCTTAAAACCAAAGTACTAATAATATATGAATTTTTTTTACACATAAAGTGTATCTGACAAGAAATGAAGAATAGAAAGAAATTATTATACATCAGGAAAAAAATGGGATGCCAATTAAAGTCTTTTTGAATCTGGCAACTGTGCATATTTAACCGAGCTTCAAGGTCGTCGACGTGCCGTCGATTTATCGTCGATCCAAAACCAAAGATTGAAAATTTCCAATGATATTGTGATTATGATATTGTCGCGCCATCTAGTATTTTATTTGTGCAATTTTAACTCTTTCATTTCGAGTATTTTTCTGTTGCGTAGCTAGATATTCTGTGCTATTATTCAACTTGTCCTTATTTATCTTTATATTTTACTACATGTGGCAACCGCGGTAACTGAATATTTCAAACTCACTGCTATTGTCCAGGGAATGCTAACATTCACTAGTAAAAGTTGGTTTTAAAAATAGCTGTTGAACTTTTACTGGCGTAGTATTAGCAAATTCGGTGAATGTGAGTTTTCACTAGTAATTGTTAACAATCACTGATTTCCAACTTTTACGGTAACATTATATTACCATGATCGTTATTTTTAAAGGTGTTGGAAAGACCGCAGTAGCAAAAAATGTGTTTAATGGCCTCGAAAAAAGTGGATTGTTTGTTGCGGTGACAATGAACTTTTCAGCTCAAACAAGTAGTGTGCGTACTCAAGAAATCATCGAGTTGAAACTGGAAAGAAAAAAGAAAACGTTGTTTGGAGCACCGGTCGGAAAAAAAGTGATTATATTTATAGATGATGTAAACATGCCAAAACTAGAAATTTATGGAGCTCAGCCACCGATTGAGCTTATTAGGTATGAATAATACATCATTATGTAAGGTAATTCACGCCCATGGTCCGTTAGACGTTTATAGAGAATGGGATTAAAAAAAATGGATTTTTGCATAAAGGCACCTGTTCCATCTGTCTAAATTATTTTCAACATTACAGTGTTGCGAGTTCATACTAACCTATTCTAATCTTTAATAGGTTTCGAGATAAAAAAACGTTAAAATTCACAAAAACATGATCTATACATATAAAGAAAAATAAGCAATTGCAAAATCTTAAATTTGGCATATTAAGTGGTGAAATTTCCTTTATCGATTAAGTGTGGAAACACTGCGCAAGCAGGTTTTCCGCTTACCGGTAGTGGGCGCCGATCTGTGTACCTGTTCTTGACTGATTTTCTGAATGTTCGCAACTTTGCATATACGCATCACGTGTATTATTGTTATACGAATTTTTCGGAGATGTTAGCTGGCTTCGGCAGTTAATTAAGAGGTAATTTACCTGGTTAACTAGGTACGTGTAATTTTTCTTCAAAAATTTCGTCTTTTCCCGTTTATTAACTACATGAGAACTACGTTAATGAACTACGTATGATTGATATTATGATAAATAAAAACATCCTATAAATAAAAATGTTAATTTTGATAGAAACATGTACCTAATGCATAGGCTTTTTATTTAATTAAAGAATTATAAATTCATAAAAAAAAAGAACATAATGCATGTTAGATATCAGTTGATATCAGGAACACCGAAGCGATCCAGAGCCAAAGTAACTGCTCCGCGTATGCGCGGATCAGGAGGCTACGAAGCTACGAGCTACACAATGCAGGGATAGGTGTTGCGATGGCGCCAACTCCGAGGCAGAACCAGAACAGCAGTACGACCGTACTCGTCTCTATTTAATATACAAGTTGACGTGTAACAGTCTTTTTTTCTAGAGAGCTATTACTAACGCTGAGCAGTCGGTCTTTTGTCTCTCGGGCGCCACCCTCAAAATTTATAGTGTTTGAGAGACCACTTCTGCCAGTACGGGTAGCTTTTCTACAGTGGAGAATCCAGGTCAATGGGGTAAAAGCCAATTAAAGTCTAATCTATTTTATAACGAGATTTATTTAAATAAATTAAATATGAATCCAATATCTTCAAGTTCAAAGTACTCAAATTCAAAAATAAAAAGGAATATTAAAGCATGCAATATCGCAAAATCTAACAAAAATAAATTAAATCAGATCATCTAGTAATAGGTCAAATATCTATACAATGTGTGTTTCCTACGATGTTCTCTATGGGTATCTCGGAAACTACTGGAGATAGAGAGTCGGTTAAATGGGGAAAGAATTGCAGTTTTGTGGGGTCAGAATGTAGAATGTTTAGGAGGGGAGTTAATCACCGCGACCTTATAGATCTATTCTATTTCTGTTCCTCTTTCTTGAGTTATAACGAGTTATAACTCATCATACAGTCTCAGGGCTTTAACAAAAGCCAGTATCTGAGACGGCTCCACAGAGGCCAGCTCTCCATCCTCGACATCAGACGTACCAAGGTTCATGGTCGTCGTCTCGGCGCACACAGTGATAAGGTGTTCTGGTGTTTCCCCATTTTTCCCACAAAATCTGCATTCGCCGTTGTTTCTCAGTTTCAGCCTACTGAGGTGTTCGTTGAGGAAACAGTGTCCTGTTAGAAAAACCGTGAAAATCCGAAGATTGTTTTTACTTAAATCAAGGAAAACCTTTGATTTTTCTCGGTCATAAGTTCTGAGGAACTTTTTCGAGTGTCTTAGACCGTTGGAGGACACCCATTCCAAGTTACGGATGGAGTTTTCCAGATTCTTCAGTTCCGTTTTCAGTTGGTTCCCGTTTGGAAAACAGAACGGTTCTGGTCCTTTTCTAGCTAGATCATTTGCTTTTTCATTGCCTTCTATCCCTTGGTGAGCAGGCACCCAGAGTAGGAGGACTTTATTTTCTTTGCCTAATTTGTTGAGCTTCTCTAGGCATTCTTTGGCCAACTTCGAATTGATGGTTACTGAGTTGATCGCGTTAAGTGCTGCTTGACTATCGGATAGGATGGCAATTTCCTGTTTTCGATAGTTCCTATTTAAGATAAATTGTACGCATCTTTCGATAGCGCATATTACATTCTGCCTGAAGGATACTGGGGTTGGTGCCCATTGGTTCGGAGTATTTAGTTTTCGGCCCAAATACTCATATTCCTGTCCCTGCTTTGGTTTTGGAAGCATCAGTATACCACGTGATGGTATGGTCTTTTATATGCTGAGTAAGCGTTTCTTGCTTCCAATCCTTTTTATTACTCAATACTACAGTGAGGTGTTTCTCAAAGTTGTAAATTCTTGGAATATCATCCACTGGGAGTTGGAGAAGTGGAATTTTCTTTTTGAGGGTGTTCCAAGCCCCTGACTTGAAAATTCTCCCGGTACTGTTTCCGTCAATGACCATTCTAATCATTGTCGCAATGGCATAACTACCGACGACAATGTGCAATGGTGTTAGGTCTAAAATGACCTCCATTGCTGCTGTTGGATATGTTCTCATGGCACCTCTGTTGCAGATACATGCCAGTCTCTGTACTTTGCACAGGTTTTGCCTTGCTGTACGTTGCTCTAGTTTTGTATACCAAGCAACTGCTCCATAAGTAATCATGAGTCTTACTATCATGGTATACATCCAGCGCAGAATGTTAGGGGCGCAGCCCCACCTATTTCCCGCCAGTCTTCTGCATATCATGAGAGCCTTTGTGGCTTTGCTGGTAATGTTCTCAACATGCCTGTTCCAGAGAAGTTTACTATCCAGGGTTATTCCCAGATATTTCACTTCCTGTGATGGCAGTATTTCCTTTCCGTCTATATGGATTCTTTTCAAGTTTTTCAAACTTCGCTTTCTGGCGAATGGTACTACTGCGGTTTTATCTGAGTTAATACTCAGCCCGACAGTTCTGCACCATCTCTCAGCGAGGCGGAGTTCTCTTTGGATAATGTCACACAGGGTGCCTTCATGTTCCCCCGCGCAATGATGACTATATCATCTGCATACCCTATACAGTGTATTCCCGCTAGAGTTAATTCTTCCAGTAGTTTATCCACTACCAAGCTCCACATTCGGGGGGAGGTCGGTCACTCCACCTTGTGGAGTTTCTTGCGTTGTTTTAACAACTACAGTTTTTGTACCTATCTCAGCCTCTACTGTTCGTGTTCAGAGCACTTCCCTAAACCAGCGAATTATTGTACTGTTCACCCCTCTTGTTTCAAGAGATCGCTTGACCACCTCGTGAGGTATATTGTCAAAGCCCCTGCAATGTTCAAGAAGGCACAAAGTGCTGTTTCTTTGCTATCCAGGCTTGCCTGTATTAGCTCAGTTAACTGGTACAGAGCAGTTTCTGTAGATCTGCCCGCTCTATATGCATGCTGACTATCGTACAGTGGTTTAACCTGTACATGATTTACTCTAATATGGTTGTCCACTACTTTCTCCATCGTTTTTAAGATGAACGATGTGAGATTAATCGGCCTAAATGATTTGGGGTTAGCCCAGTCAGTTTTGCCTATGACCCTTCTTTAGAAGGGCAGGAAAATCCTATCTATTCCTGCTGTTTTATAAGGCTAAAAGGTGTCAATAGCCCATTTCAGTTTTTGTTCTGTTATTACTAGCTTGGCCGTCTTTCAGTTTTCCTCCCAGTCTTTCCTTTGTGGGGTCATAAATATGCGCCTTTCAGATTTTTGAAAAAGTTCATGGCCTACTAGATATTTCGAAAAAAACAAATTTCGGCTATTTTAAAAATTGTCTCTAATTCCATTATAAGCTATTTTAGACAAAAAGTTTTCAGATAAAAGCTGTAGATAATCACATCCTTAATGAAACCGTGTCCTCTGTTTTTTTTCTAAAGCCTGTAATTTTTGATATATGACACAAACATATGTTTTTTTTTAAATGGAAACCATAGTTGGCACAATTTCACTTAGTTAGCCATGGAAACAAGTTTAAACGTCTTTCCAACATGACTTTCAGTATGACACACCACCACCACCACCCTTCATAATGAAAGAATTTTTAAAAATCATTTATATCATAATTATACAAACGCAAGGATAGAAAGAGGTTTACTAATTGCATGGGCCTTCTCGATCACCTGACCTATCTATTTTAAAATTTTTTATGCGGTATAGTTAACAATAAGGGATTACAAAAGAACTTATGAATTAAGAGAGGCACTCGAAGTGGCGGTACGAGAAAAGCTTAATTAAGTCGACCGGTCCTTCTGTGAGAATAAGTAATAATTCAGTTTTAAAAAGATGCAACTCAAAACAATGGAGGATTTTTTTAACATTTTCTAAAATAACTTAAGGTGTATGTAGTGATATTATTTTTTTAAGTTTTAGTTTGTGTAATGTAAATTGTAAAAAACCGTTTAGTAATATATTCTGACTTTTTATAAGTTATAAATCATAACGGAATAAGAATACCATGCAATCCAAGTGAAATTAGTCAAGAAAGATAAAAATTGGTTATAACTAAATTTAACTTTTCTAACGTGTCTTGAAGACCGTTCTCTAAAAAACGTAACATTCACCGGTCAGCGTATCCTCGAAAATGTATGGCAAGAAAGGTTGAACCAATAATCCTACACGCTTTTCTTCATTTGAAAAATTCATATTTACAATTTTTGTTTATTTTAATTTACAAAGATTGGATTTGACAGCTTCACATTTATGAGAGCAAAGACGATTAAACTTGTTTCCATGGCTAACTAATTGAAATTGTTTAAAAATGATAAGAATTGGCTATAATTCAGTAATTTTTTGAAGAAAACATATTATAGCTTATATCGCTAAAAAAGCTTAAAAAATGGCGCTTTTATGAAGTCATGGCCAACTATGGTTTCCATTTAAAAAAACGTATATTTGTGTTATATATCAAAAATGACAGGCTTTAGAAAAAAACGGAGGACACGGTATCATTAAAGATGTGATTATCTACAACTTTTATCTGAAAAATTTTTGTTTAAAAT